TTTCCTTGAATAGGGAAGGTTTTGTCATTCAGTCTTTTTTCTTTTCTTTTATTTTTCTTTGACTTTCTAGTGTTAATGTGTTCTCGTTCTTCCCATAATTCTTTGTGTGCTGTCCTTGTTTGTCTCTTTCTATACCTTCATCAGTAGTCATGGAAACTAGAACCACTCTACATGACTGGGGAAGAACTTTGCTTACAGTTTAATGCTCAGACCTACTGTGCCGAGAGTGTAAACAGTACCCGGTTATTCAGTTTAACTTCAACCTTTACAAAGCACCTTAATGGGAGGATTAAGAAGGGGGATTTATCAAAACTGGAGCAGACAAAATCTGGAGCAGTGCCCATGACAACCAGTCAGCATCTCTCTTTCATTTTCAAATCTTAACTGAACAAACGTAAGAGAGAAGCTGATTGGTTGCCATGGGCAACTGCTCCAGTGTCTGCCTGCTCCAGTTTTGATAAATTCCCCCCTTATGTTTAATGATAATTAAGAAATTGCTTCTTGTTAACTGTTCTGCCCACAGGCATACCCTCAATATTCCTTTCCTAGACTTACTGCCCACAGTCATACCCTCAATATTCCCTTACTGCCCACATTTGTATATCCTCAGTACTCCTCTCCTGCATTTAATGCCTACGATCATGCCTTCTGTACTCCTGCACTTAATTCCTCATAGTTCTATACCCTCAGCACTCCTCTCCTGCACTTACTGCCCACATTTATACCCTCAATATTCCTTTCCTAGACTTACTACCCACAGTCATACCCTCAATATGCCCTTCCTGTACTTACTGGCCACAGTCACACCCTCCATATTCCCTTCCTGCCCTTACTGCCCACACTCATACCCTCAATATTCCCTTCCTGTACTCGCTGCCCACAGTCATACCCTCAATATGCCCTTCCTGTACTCACTGCCCACAGTCATGCCCTCAATATTCCCTTCATGTACTTACTGTGCACAGTCATACCCTCAATATTCCCTGCATGTACTTACTGCCCACAGTCATACCCTCAATATTCCCTTCCTGTACTCACTGCCCATAGTCATACCCCCAATATTCCTTTCCTAGACTTACTGCCCACAGTCATACCCTCAGCACTCCTCTCCTGCACTTACGGCCCACAGTCATACCCTCAATATGCCCTTCCAGTACTTACTACCCACAGTCCTACCCTCCATATTCCCTTTCTGTACGTACTGCCCACAGTCATACCCTCCATACTCCTTTCCTGTACTCGCTGCCCACAGTCATACCCTCCATATTCCCTTCCTGCACTTACTGCCCACTGTCATACCCTCAATATTCCCTTCCTGTACTCACTGCCCACAGTCATACCCTCAATATTCTTTTCCTAGACTTACTGCCCACAGTCGTATATCCTCAGCACTCCTCTACTGCATTTAATGCCTATAATAATGCCTTCTGTACTCCTGCACTTAATGCCCATAGTCATATACCCTCAGCATTCCTCTCCTGCCCTTACTGCCACAGTCATACCCTCAGTATTTTTACTGCCCACAGTCATACTCTCAGTATTTCTTTCCCACATGTACTGCCCACAGTCATACCCTCAGCACCCCATTCTTGCTCATACTGCCTGCCCTTATACATTCCCCACTCCTTTCCTGCACATCCTACCAAACATCAGCCCCTTCACACAAAATCACTTCTTTATCAGTGTTTATAATAGCCCCAACCTTGTCTGTTATGGAACAGGCACACATTTGCTAGTTTAGATAAACAGATAAAAGGCCACTTCTAAGAAGACATACACATAAATCAGAGCCTATGATTTATAAAGGTTTACTGCAGGTTCATCAAATTTTTACCGAACATTGTGCTGTTAGTCTGAATTCCTACTGTACATTACATTCACAGCACATTCTGTAGCTTGAGCAGGTCCAACATCAGATTCAAAGCATTGCACGTGTGTTTAACATAGTTGAACACAAAATAGTGAAGGAGATTCACCAGAGTTTTATAAATATGCTTCTAGGATTCGTGTTCAGGATTTTCTGTTTGTGATTACTGTGAGTCAGATTCCCTACATGTTGACCACACATGTACATGATGTGTTTGAGTTCCCCGTCTGAACAGAATGGAAAATAATTAAAGTGTATGTAAATCCCAACAATGAATATTGTTTTTTTGGTCTGTTTAATATACCATTGGAAGCATTTTGTTAAATGTTTGTTTAATGCAAAAAAAAAAACCCTGTTGATCTTGTTAAATTCAGAGCTGCCTGGTGTCTTCCCTGTGTTCTCTCAAAGATCTACCCTGGTTCTTTTCTTGGACTACAGAATGATTAGCCTTAATGCTATGAAGATCTGGGAGTTGAGTAGTTTGCAAAAGACCCTGGGCAGGGCTGACACCACTCCACTAAGATGTTGTGCGTTGTCCGCTCTAAACAGGGTTGCATTTCTGGAAGATCAACAGGTAGAATTGTGCATGTATTGCAGATGTGTACTAATTTTGTCTTGACATGCACTTAAATGGAAGTCTATCATCAACAATTTATTATCACATATCAAGTAGATGAGGATGTAAACATGTTGGTGTTTTAAACTATGCAAAATATCGTTTTCTTTCCCTAGATACCCTGCGAGGGATTTTTTACCAATAATTTCAGAATACCCGAACAGAGCTGGCAGCTTGTTGGCTGCTCTCTGTTCAACGATTTTCAGACCGGCTCCTTTGATCAGCTGATCGATGGCCGCAGACATGGGCACCCAATTTGCAAATTATTGTGCGTTCTTGATAAACTGGCTGAAATGCGCATAGTTTATGGCCAGCTTAACTGTGACAGTTACAGCCAGAACCGTATAAAAGTAGAGCAGTGTACTTACAGAAAAGGCAGCAAATAGACTGCTTTTATTTACCCCCGTGAGGATAATACCTATGCTCTTGCAGTGCATTTAAACCCTAGAACAAAAACGTGATATCTCGCCGTGTACCAATCCTTAGATGTAGTTGCCGAATTCGTTTTCTTTTTTTCCATCAGGTCACAAGATTTCTGGCAGATATTATTATTACACAGTATTTTATATAGCGCCAACAGTTTGCACCGCACTTTACAATATAAGGAAGACATTACAATCACATTACAATTCAAGACAACATGGTAAGGAGGGCCCTGCCCGTGAGGGCTTACGATCTAAAAGGGAGGGACAAGTGATACATGAGGAAGTAGCTGCGCGGGGATGAATTGTTTGACAACGTGATGGTTGAGTGTTTAGGTTGAGCTGGGATAGGCTTCCCTGAAGAGATGAGTCTTAAGGGATCGCCTAAAGGCAGTCAGAGTGGGAGATGTAACGTGTTTTGTTTTTTGGTACAGCTAACAGACTGGGAGCGAATAAGAGAAGTTCATAGTATATATTAAAACAGAAGCCCCATATATGACTGCTTCTTAATTTAGGCGTAATGCTATTGTATGTTTTGGATGGAGATTGCATCAAGTGTTTTGGTAACAAATGATAAAAATAGCGCAAGCAACAATTTTTCGTTTTTTCAGTGAAACTGAAGTTTAGGTTTCTGCCTGATAAGAGAATATAATACTGAAGGAGCATTCTAATAGTTATAGGGAGGGCATTGGCATCGATCAGAAAGCTGTGGGCTGTGAATTAAAAAACAATAAATTTGGGAATGTTTTAAGTGACTTTGATTTGGAATTGGCAAGTTGTATCACATTAGACTGTGTTACTCCAGCGGAGGGGTAACACCTACAAAGTGCAGCATAATCTGTATGTGGGAAAGTGATGAATACAATTCAATAGTGTGGGAGAGCAGATTCATGCAAAAGGAGATTGTTCCTTAGTATATAATTACATGCCCACATATCACTTTTCATGCCGACAAAGAGATATTGTGTTGCATGAAGGAATATGCAGTTTACGGTACCTGACTGTCATCCTGCTAAGAGTTTAACATACTTCTTCTGGGATTACTTCAGAGGTGATGCACAATGTACATACACCACAGATGTGTAATATGTTACTTTACTGCTTTTTGTTGTATTACTACAGCTGAAGAAACTATATACTTTGCATTGAATTGAGAGGGGTTGTGAAGTCCCAACATATACTATCCTGTTACAAAATCTGCATTGTAATAGGAATAGATACTACAGTTGTTTTTTTATAATGCAGTCAAAGGTTACCTAAAGAAAATCCCTTTTATGTAGTGAGTGTTGCCTTCTGTCTGCCCAGCACTTTCACCAACTTCCTGGACTCTCAGTGTGCTTTGCATCTTTTTCCCTGCAGCATGATGTGATGCAATCTCGATACATACATATCCTATCATGCATTACTTCCAGCAAGCAATGATAATGGTACGTTGTTCAGAAGGCAAGCTCTTCAGTTGTGACGCAAGGAAGTGCATATTCACAGGGTTGAGTGAAATTGAGTCAATGCATTTGAGGAAGTTCATAATATGTAAGGTTTACAAACTGTGATATGCTTATTAGGAGTGGGATAGAACTTATGGAAATTCAGTATAGAAATACATATTCATTTTTAGTTGACCATAGATACCCTTTAAAAGTCAAAACCAGCTAAAACTAATATTTCAGATGCAAGCGTGATCCCTATATCATGGGACAAATGGAAGGGTAACTGTACAATATGTTTTCCAGCATGTCCTCCTATCATGAGTTAGCCCCTATGAGCTTGATTGTCACCAGCAATGCTCAAAACATTCACTTGAATGTGACTTGCTAGTGTTATGACTGACCTTACTGCTCTGAGAGCCATAGTGGCACACTTTATTTGCCCTTGAAATGGTAGTCTGCCTTTGGCTTGTTATCCGGCTAACGATTCTGAATGGTATGCATTATTGCAGTGTGTTTACACTGAAAATAAATAGCAAAATACTTTAACTCTGATCACACATTGCATGTGAGCTTACGTTTGCTGTCACTGGTAAATGCTTGTTTAACTTTAGTTCACGTGAAAACAGTAGGGGAGAACATTTAAATTGAATCGCATTCTTTCTTTGCAGTTAATGGTGGTGGTTGGAGGTCAGGCTCCCAAGGCGATTCGCAGTGTGGAGTGCTATGATTTCAAAGAGGAACAGTGGCACCAAGTGGCTGAATTACCATCAAGACGCTGCAGATCAGGTTTGTTCACCTGTATTCCATCGTCTTGTGTGCTGTTAGAGCTGATACAGAAAATGACTTCAGTGTGACGATGACGGCACAGAAAGGGACGATCGTTTAACTGTTTTCCTACTGGAAGACTATTCAAGAGAATCAAATGGCCACTACTTCTAAAAACACATAGAGTGAAAGCAGAACAAGATTTATTATTGTCAGGACCAAAAAACAAACTAATTTTTATATTTCTCAAGTCTCTTTTTCCTCCTTTTTACCACGTGTTGTAATAAGCGTGTTTAGAGATCAGTAGAGATAAAAACACATGCCCACGTTTTGTTTCTAGATTAGGAATGCCAGTTTTTGTTATGGATTTGGATCAGTTCAGCAGTTTTACATTGAGAGATAATACAGGATTTATATAGTGCCAACAGTTACAAGGCAAAACTAAAGGGTACGGAGGGTCCTGCTCATGAGAGCTTACGATCTAAATGGGAATATCTAATGTATTAGGAATAGGCAAATTGACAATGGGATGGACAACAGCAAAATAAATGAACCAAGGACAGTGGTCAGCGGGGAAAAAAAAAATATCTCAGGATCACTTTGCACTTAGATGGCCCGGCTATTATTCACACTCAAAGAAATTGTAGTGATCAGGTATACTGGATATAAGGTGTGGAAAGGTTTATGTAAACATTATACCATTCTACATACATTCTCTCATCTCAGAATAATCTGTTTCTTTACATGAGGACATCACTGTATAGAAAAAGGAACTAGTTATAGGCATGCAAAAAATCATGAATGGAGTGATGGTATGCTTTGGTGACGGTGTTCACTTCTAGACAAACTTTTGAGGTATACTGAACCCCCAATTGGTAAGCTGAGTTTGTGAGTTCTAACACCCATATTCACTATAGGGGACAGTGTTCTTTACATTAATATATGTGCTTTTGTACTCAGATGAGTTATTTACAAAGCCAAGAGTAATTATATAGTGATTGTGCTTAACTCACTGTTCGGGTCAATGGCAAACAATGAAAACTGTTCTTTTACAGACCAGTGTGGCCAACATGCAGGACAGGAGGAGCACTCTAGGGGCTGCTGTACTGAATGGGCTGCTCTATGCTGTTGGGGGATTTGATGGCAGCACAGGTAAATATGTTTTCTATTTTCATGTGCCATTTGGTATATAAGAAGTGGTATGTTATTGAGGTAACTTTCACTTGTAATATACAGTTTATCAGTTGCTGTTGCCTCATTGTAAATCTGTTGTCTGGTAAAACTAGCTGAAATATATTTTTAAAGAAATAACATCATAGACAGGTCATTTTAGAAACTGACTTATAAACATTTAGGGGGTTATTCATAAAGCTGCCGAAGACAGCCGAGTGAATAACCTAGCAGAAGTGAAGTGAGCCGAATGCTATTCGGCTATTCACTTCTGGCTTGTACGGTCATTTGGCTCGGCTATTCTGCTCGGTACCTCCGGGGTACCGAGCAGAATAGAAAATCAACGGAAAGAGTTTAAAAAAAAAAACTTACTAAAATATTTTTCAAATGTTAATTGTAAAATGAAAAAAGAAAGATCTAAAAAAAAAAAAGAAAAAAAACAAAAACAATTGGGCGGAGCTAGCAGTGACGTATAGCTCCACCCAACTGTTTCCTATTGGCTGGCACATGCTAGAGCCTCCAAGCAGGTTCCCAGGTCATTTGGGGACGCTGATCTGTCATTACAATCCGCCCAGCTGTCATTTGCGGGGCTTACAGCCGGCCTTCAGCAGGCCGCTTGCCCCGCTTCGAGTGTCACTTCGGTTCAGTCGAGCCGAAGCCTATGCCTTCAGCTGCCTCACGGGCTATAGTTCATAGCCCGTACAGCAGCCCTTCAGTTCGACTGAACTGAAGCGCTTCAGAGGCCAAAGAGAGCCAAAGGATCAGCCGAGGCTACGGCTGGATCCTTCGACTCCTTCGTGAATAACCCCCTTAATGTTTTCCTTATCATCCATTGAGGGACTTGGAAATGGTAGATAATCGTAGCAAATGGGTTATATGCAGTTGACTACAAGAGGTGGACACTGGCAAATGAAAATAATTGAAACCCTGCCCCTAACCAGCATGTTGATCATTCACCCTCTTCTTAAGAAGAATTTAGGGTTAGCACCCTTCATTTTTTGTCAGCTAAGGGTTCTTCCCTTCTCTCCATTTGCATATTATGCTGTGGGGGCTCTCGCATCCATGGATATCTCCTTAAGAGATTAATTGTCTGTCAAGTATAATACTGTGTTTCATTCTGGAACTCTCGTTCCCTGAAGTCACGGGTCAGGAATACCATGCTTAGCTTTTCCTGATGTTATCAATTGGACATTTTTTTCATCTGTTTTTACTCTGGTGCTAGTCCCATAAAACATTGTTTCAGTTGGTGTTCTGTTCCACCTGTTTTTTGGTGGTTCCTCTATTTGCTGATCGAGACCCATGGCTCATTCTGGTAGCACTTCCCCTTAGTGGTGTTTTTCTGTCCTGGTCTGGAACACCAGGATGCTTCTTGGCCACCTCCCCTTGTTCCTGACAGTTTCCAAAATTGATTGGCCCTTTTTCATCTAGCCTTCATTTAGGTGTTTATTCCTTTAGGTACTGTTTCTGTATAATTTCCACTTCGTTGGATCTCTTGGTGGCCTTTTACCTTTTAGACTACTTTTGAACGCCTTGACTTTTTAAGAATTTCTACAGTTCCTGTGTCCCTCAATAGTTGATCAAGAAAATAAGATTTTTGTACTTATTAGAAATTTTTTTATTCTTGAAGTCTACTTAGGGACCTAACGCTCTTTTATTAGCCTGTACTGATTGCTCACAATACTGATGCATGATGTTTGGAGGCAGGGTTAAACTTGGCCTGGCTTAACTTTTCATTGCTTGCCTGTGTCCCAACCTCCTGAAGGCAGAAGGTGGCAGTATATCCTGTCTAACAATTTCTACAATTCATGTGTTCTTCAATGGACTTAATTTTTCCACTCACCTCATAGTTCTAAGCCGACCTGTGACAATGAGACTGTCACAGGTCGGCTCAGTAGATCGGGAGGTGAGAGAACACATACCGGGTTCCCTCACCTCTCGATCCTGTCACGGCTCTCTGCTGTGACAGGGGGAGGGGCTGGATTCCCCTCTCCCCGCTCCGATCTGCCAGCGCTGACTGGCGGAACGGACGGGGGAGGGGGCGGGTACAGCTGGCTCTGCCTCTAGATAGGCAGAGCCAGCTGTCACTCACGCAGCTGGGCGGATCCCGTCATCTAAGTCGGGATCCGCTCCAGGTGCGGCGTCTCAGTATACCGCGAGCTGTAGCTCGCGGTATACTGAGCTTAGGGTAACGGGAGGACGCTAGTTTGTGTCCTCCCGTTACCCCAAGGAGAACTATGGGGAAAAACACTGACCCCATAGTTCTCCTTTAAAGGTAAGCAAAAAAATCTTATTTTTTCATATTCATATATGGGTACCTTGAAGGGAATCTGATATTGTAAAGTTGTTTTGTGAAACATGTGAATGTGTACTCTGGGAATTACCCACGCACCTCCTAAATGAATTGCTATGTACTACGTAAAAAAAAAAATCCCTACGCTAAAAGCCTCTTTTATTTGCCTAACTCGATGGTAACGAGATGTGTCGAGTCCATGGGATTTTATCATCTTCACTGCAGAGGAGAATCCTTCTCCAAGTATCCATGTTACTTCCTGTGTAATGTGGAAAGCACTTCCTATTGGCTGCCCAGTAGGAGGGTCCTCTCCAGAAAACTGCAGTGTGATGGTGTCAATACGAAGTGATCAGTCAGCGCAGGAGCAGACTAAATCGCTGGATGAACACTTGTCACTCCCAGAAGTGAGGATGACAAGGGACACAGGCGGGTAGTTTGGAGACGAATGTTTGCTTTTTAATGTTTCAATGTTTGCTTTTTATCATTGGTAATTACAAATTACAGTTGCATGCAAATGGGGCAGTAAAATGTGCCTATTACCTTTCAGATAACATTTGAATTAAACATTGCAAAACACCATGTATAAGCCTTTACACAGAAGTGAACCAATGTTGAAAATGCATAAAAAGTTATAATAACTTGGTTTTGCATATATGTAAGTTTGTACTATATGTATACAGAATATGAATTCTATTCTAGTCTAACTTTCTTAACCAGGGTTCTATGGAACCCTAGGGCTCTTCTTGAGGTTGCTAGGGTTCCCTTGAGCAGTGAGCAATGACCAATTGATCTCTTACCTACGCTGACGACTATCACACTTCTACAATCGCCACTTACATGGAGAAACCACCATTTTTTCCTGTTTGCCATATTATTTTAAACATGTATTGAAATGTAGTGATCATGCTAATATTCCGCAAACTATGGGTATATTTTTAGCAGGAGTTCCCAGAGACAATAGAGTCGAGAGAGCCTGATCTATTTATTACAGGTATTTATATAGCAGCAACAATTTATGCAGCGCTTTACATAGCTGCACGTTCACGTCAGTCCCTGCTCTCAAGGAGCTTACAATCTAAGGTCCCTATCTCATATGCATACATACGAGGGCCAATTTAGAAAGGAGCCAATTATCCTACCAGCATGTCTTTGGAGTGTGGGAGGAAACCAGAGTACCCGGAGAAAACACACACAAGCACAGGGAGAACATGCAAACTCCTTGCAGCTAGTGACCTGGCTGGGATTCAAACCAGGCACCTAGTGCTGCAAGGCAGAAGCGCAAACCACTATGCCACTGTGCTGCACACCTCGCCACTGTGCTGCCCTAGTTGAACACAACTCCTTGTGCAGTCACTAAAGGAATTATGGTGCTTATTCTATATATTCTTTTGGTCAGACCTGAAGCTAGCATTCCATCAATTCTAGGGTACTGTAATTAAGGCCAGCTTTGCATTTTGATTAAGGAAAAGTCTCCTCCCTGTGCTACATCCCATTCCCCTTACAGTGAACTTATTTGTAGATATGACACCAGGATATAATAAAACATCTTGCTCCCTACTGTACAAGCTGGAGCACTGTACCACAAGAGCATTGCCAATTATTAGCACATTTTGCAAGGGCTAATGCAAGGCCTCTGCCCTACATAAACATTGCTTTAGCTTCATCTTGTATTTACACACACATAAGTAGATACTAACATGGGTGTCTGAAAGCTGCAAGCCAGAAAATAAAAGGCAACATGTTACAGTGCTTTTATTTAGTTCTAGAATTTACAATTCCAGCTCTTTTACTAAAATTGCACTTGTCTATTTCTGTAGGATTGGCAACTGTGGAAGCATATAATGCGAAAGCTAATGAGTGGTTTCATGTTTCACCAATGAACACCAGGAGAAGCAGTGTTGGAGTCGGTGTTGTTGGTGGTAAGCTACAGTGCATTAGTTTGAAGTTTTTTGTTGTTTTTCTAAGATAATTTTTATTGATTTTGCAATTAATGTCATATCAAAATTGGTTGAACCACCAAAGAAAATAAGGACACCACACCCCTAAATTGAAATAATAACACAAGAAAAAAACATGGGGCTTTTAAGGTGTCACAGCCAGATATACGGATGATATCAAATACAAAAATATTAAGTTCATAAGCCAATAATTTATTATAATTAAAAAGTTACATGATAGCAATGCGAGTGCGAGTCACCCGCCGCACAACCATCGGCATCCATCGGGAGAGAGTGGGGAACATAGATGGGGCGGCTCGCTCTGAAGAAATATGGACTCACCTCGGACTACAAATTGGGTGGATACTGCGGGCTGTTTGATTTCTTTATTTTGCCTGTCCGTGTGTCCTTCTTATCTACCTGCCTCCTCGGGCTGTTGGGTGTTGTCCCTCCGATGGATGTTTTGACGCACCACAACTCACCAGACAAAATGATTTTTGCTATCAGTGATCTCCCTTACTTCCTGAAGACGCTTGTGGCGAAACGCGTCAAAGGCTGGACCCACTGCACATTCAATCGTCAATTTATGAGAAACAAAATCAATTTATGAGAAACTTTACAAATGAAATAAGGATATTGTTTAAAGTGGATCAATTTTCTGGAATAGATAAGATTATATGATGTGCAGTTGGGATCCAGGGGGGGGCTATGTGTTGGGTCGAGAACCTGTTTTCTGGGATATGTTTTTTATAGTGGTTTTATGTACATTTCTAACAATCATGTAACTTTTTTAAATATTATAATAAATTATTGGCTTGTGAACTTATGAACTTGTTAAGAATATTTTGTATTTGATATCCGGCTACGACACCTTTAAAAGCCCCATGGTTTTTTTCTTGTGTTTATTATTTTAAAGATCTAAAACTGTATTATATATGGTTTGAAAGCTGAAAACCCAGTTTTCTAATTTTGTGCAGGTTGACAATATTATTTGGATACATGAAAAAACAAAGCGATAATGGGGCTTTAAAAGTGTCCAATGATGAATGTGGGATAGCATGGCTTAGCTTAGGTAACGAGACATGATGACTGGTCATAAAAATATATATAGTATAATACTTTTTTGCCTCCAACAAACCTCCTGAGGAAGCTTTAGCTAGCGAAACGCGTCAAGGGCTGGAATAGTGCAATTATAAATGAAATAATGCTTGCCTTGTATATGTGCCTTGTATATCGTTATTATATACACCCTGCAAATGCACTAAGTCCAGGGAGGTATATGTAATTATTTATTATTCACTGTTTGCAACCTTTTAGACCAATGAAATGTTTTTAAGTATATTGAGATCATGTAAATAAAATTCTTTATTATACTATATATATTTATGACCAGTCATCATGTCTCGTTACCTAAGCTAAGCCATGCTATCCCACATTCATCATTGGACACTTTTAAAGCCCCATTATCGCTTTGTTTTTTCATGTATTGTATTCAGGGGTGTGGTGTCACAGTTCCGATGGGCGTTCTGGGAGATACCTACTTGTTTTATTTAATATTATTTGGATAACTTGAACGCATATGTGATATATTATTTCCAGGTATGCTGTATGCTGTTGGTGGCTATGATGGAGCATCAAGACAGTGTCTTAGCACGGTTGAATGTTATAATCCCAGCACCAATGAATGGACTTACATATCAGAAATGGGCACACGAAGAAGTGGTGCAGGTACTAATAAATGTACAGAGATCAAATTATGGGACTTGACACCTGTTTGTTTATATTATTTATTCATATAGCGTCATCAAAACAGCACCTTGATGTTTTTTTTGTCAGTCCCTGTTGCCGAATGTTCCTACTACATTCGGAATTCTACATACAAAATTATTTTTGGAGAAGACTAGTAATCTACTAAAATGTTTGTTTTGTTGGTTGAAACTGGAGGATCCAAGGAAAGAACATGGAAGCTCCATGTAGATAGATTCTGTGAATTAAATTGAGCTCATGGATTTACCGTATTTTTCGCTCCACAAGACGCACTTCCCCCCCCCCCCCCCCAAAACCGAGCGGCGGCGATAGAGCCCCTAGAGCAGACGAAGAACGTCCGTTCTTCGTCTGCTCTGTGTGATCACTTAGACTGTGGTGCTGTAACCACGGCGCCACCTGTTTCATCGGTCACTAACTACAGCTGCTGTAACAGAACCTCCCTGCATCCTATGGTCCCGTGTGCCTTATGGAGCGCAAAATATGGTACGTGGTGGTAGCTACTGAGCAGCCATGCAGCCCCCACACTATTCTATGCGCCTCGGCATGTCATGCTAAAACAGCTGGTTAACCATAAATGTCCAATTGAAGTTTCTGCACGAGTCATATTTATTATAGTTTGTAACACATCTTTTGTGTCATGCCTTTTAATATTTGGCGGTGTAAGAAAACGCAGTTTAAAATCTATAGTTACAAAAGACATGTGAGACACATAGAGGGGCTCCCTATGCTCCTATGAAAAGCTACAGTTGAAAGTTTTTTTCAGCTGTGGCATGAAGCATCCATCAGATAATTTCTTAGACGCTTTTATTTTACTGTGAGAATCCACACTCACAAACAACATCAGCTTGACGTTGACATTCAACCGTACTGTAAGTAGCAAAGAGAGAATGACCATGACATGCATAGGAACCTTGACAGGGACTCTGATGTTGACATAGACAGACAGACTGACATGTTTACATTTATATTGACCTTCGAACATCTTGACATATCAGGCCTTGTATATCTAAAGGTGTCTAGAAACCAGTAATATGGTTTCAATTTTTTTTCCTTTACCTGCATTAGACGTACGATACTGGTATGTGAAATATCTGGTTGCTAGAAGCAACATACATCATAGTTACATAGTTACATAGTATTTGAGGTTGAATAAAGACATTAGTCCATCAAGTCCAACCTATTAGGATCTCATTCTAGGAGTACCTGTACCCCTGTATATTACGGTCCCTTAAGAAATCGTCCAAAAGTTTCTTGAACAATTCCACATTCTTTGCTGAAATCACTGTCTGTGGCAGTGAGTTCCAGACCCTAACTGATCTTACTGTGAAGAACCCCCTTCGCCCCTTGTGCTGGAATTTTTTTTCCACCAATTTTAGGTGGTGGCCTCTAGTTTTTGTAATGGAGTTAATTTTAAACAGTTTATCGCTAATGTTGCTGCCACATACATTTAATTCCTCTCTTTTTGTGGGACAAAAGTTTACTACCTTGTTGTTCCCCACTATTTTTATTGTTATTATTCTGCCTTGATTTCGGTCGTCCGTTGGTAGTTATACTTACATGTGCCAACGGATTTCCTATATTGACTGGAGTGAGCCCACTATTATGAACTCCTTTTTTACTACTTTCTGTGTTATTTTTACCTATGATTAAATTATCTACGTTTAGTTTAAGTGATTTTATTTTTATACCCTCCCCCCCACTTCCTAGTTTAAAAGCTCCTCCAGTCTTTCTACCATTTTCCCCCCCAGGAATGCTGCACCTTTCCCATCATCATTATTTTACTTTCATTTTGTCTGCATCTCCTATTCCCAAAAGGAGAGGGAATATTACCAAGACAGAGTAATCAATATAATATGTAATATTATGACAATGTAGGGATAGGTACAGGAGAGACTGACAAAGGAAATGTGTTTTTTATCTCCCAGTGCTGCAGATTAATATTTTTCATACATGAACCATCTGGTTTCAGAGATATATATGTACATGATAGCCTGTCATCTTGTTTGTAGGTGTGGGAGTCTTAAATGGTTTGCTGTATGCAGTTGGAGGCCATGATGGTCCGTTGGTGAGGAAAAGTGTTGAAGTTTATGACCCATCTACGAATCTGTGGAAGCAGGTTGCTGACATGAACATGTGCAGGAGGAATGCAGGTATGTACTAATAGGGCTTCCATAACTGCTGAATTTTAAAATGTAAATTCACATACATTTAAGGCAATGTCAGGTTCATGTGTAGGGGTCTATCATGAGGAATGTCTGTTTTTTTGTTTTTTTTCCCCTCTCTCTTTTGTTGTATAAATAGCCCTCACCGTATTTTACTGACTGCAAAAGCTTGGAACAGCCTTTATTCAGTGACACAGTTTTAAAGTTGTTATGTTCTAGTCAGGCATAAACATTTGCATTCAAAGTGCCATTGGTGGCTCCAAAACCTAGGCAAAAATTTAATGGTGCAGGAAAATATATCGGGAAGATAAGTTGGATCCACAGCACATCCAGGTCATATGGTGCCTAGGCAGCTTTTTTGTCTTGGGAGTAATGGGGAGATTATCTGGTTTCCTCATACCTAACTTCATGGGAATAATCAGAACACTCCTCAAACTGTAAATTCCCTGTTAATGATTATGAGGAAACCTCAGAATGGTATCTTTTCAGGCTCCATGACTTCATTACAATAGCGAATCTCTGTGTATTTGGCTCTTCTGTTCTCTATATTCAAAATACCACAGCTGTAGTTGTTCTAGCTGAATAAAATATCCTTTCCACACCAGTATGATTTCATCCTGGTATTTTTCTTGTCTACCATGCTTTGCTATATCCGTATGCTCATCTAGGTTAATTTAGTTCAAGCAACACCCTTTGTTTCAGTCTACAGCAGCCTCGCCCACACCCTGGATCATAAGAAAATGTTGCAAGGCACAGACTGGATGAATGGGTTACCCAGCCCTGGTAGCCAGAAAAAAAATCAAATTTAAAAATCCTTCTAATTATAAAAAGAAATAAAAGTTAGGTTTATGAATCTATAGGAAAGGGACATAATAGTGCCTCTGCATCTACAGGGAAATGAATAAGGAACAGCCTTTTACCAGAGGATAACAATGTCCTTCCTTTAAAGTGCAGAGACGTCTAAGGACCAGACAACTTCAGGCATTTTATATGTATATACATAGTGGGGCTAATTTACTAAAGGAGTAGAGACTGTTCACTTTGCATAATTAAATATTCCCTTTTTTTTATCCTGCCTACAGGAGAATTGCATGATGGCAAATTAACTGTAGGCCAGCCCAGGATATTACCCCATCATACTACTAGCACACCTTGCTTGATTCCCCCATCCAGTAACCCTGGCAATTACCCTCAGGCCCTGGGTTTCACATGGGCAATTTCTAGACTGGATCTGGTTAAATCTGTTGCAGAGTACTTTTCAAGTCCAGAGACACTGGCATTGCCTCTGCGCTTGCCCTGTTTTTGAAGACTTACTTGGGCAGGGGAGTTCCCTCATATTTATAGGTTGCTGGGTGCCAATTTTCCCACTTCCTACTGGCTTTGCCATGGAAGGAATTAACACTGTGGAACAGGGCGCTGACATCATTCCACCGGGTGAAGTGTTGTGCATGCGCATTTCGCATTTTCTTTCCAACCAAACAGCATGGAGGGAGCATCTTGGGCTTCAATGGACTCCAAAGAAAAAAAAAAAATTCGGTGAGTTCAAAAATCCCATTTTCTTGCATTCCTCAGTGTAACAAAAAGGCAAACGTGTAAAAGTTTAATGAAGTTATAAATAACTGAAGGTTATACCTATATACCAGATACAAATGCTCCCCAACACTCAGCCATGTTAGCCAGTAAAAGAAACCTAATTAAACTTCTTCTAGTTTCTTCAGTAAAAAAAGTTTTGGTTCACATACATTTGAAAATATGCGGAATAGTCATACACCAGCATCCAAGCATCTCCTTTCCAAAGTGCCTTTTTGTCAGCACAGACTTCTGATGAGGCAAAAGGCTGCTGCCAAATCCTGAAGCCGGGTCAGCAGCTTACTAAACCTTACGGCTTCATTTGTCAAAACTCTGTTTAGTTTGAGTGCACGTGCTGACATTTGCACACAATATACAGTATTTCAGAATATTATTAGTATTTCACGGTTTGAATTTGTTGCCTAAAGTTAGTGGCACTTAACAAAGGCTATCTGATATGTTTGAATGTGGTGATCAGCAAACTTTGAATGAGGGGTGGAAGTGTGTCAGCAGTAGCCAAACCACTGAATTCTGAATACAGCGTCTCTCCACAATATATCCATTTAATTTCCGTATTTGACTAGCCGTTTTAAAAGAGCAGATATACAAATATTAGACCCTGTTCACACCTGTAAGTTTTCGGGTGCATTTAGGGATTCCTGCGTCAGGAACTTGCATTTTCCTGCAGCAGGAATCCCTAATCTGCCGTTTACAACTGTCTCCCGTTCAAGTTAAAGCGACACTAAACTCAGAAATGAAATAATAAAAATAACGTCTATTATATAAATAATAAATGACTGTGTACCTTTTTTTTGTCATTGTTCGGCTCTAAAAGCTCCAAAATCGATTTTTATTTTTCCTATAGGGTGGCTACTTTTCTTCTCCATGGTCCCTATGGGAGCTGAAAAGTAGCCACCCTCTGTGCTAGTTCATTTGAAGGACTACAACATGGTGGGGGCGTGTCTTCAGTCTCCGCCCACAGATCCTCCCCTCTAGACTCTGCAAGGAGCTGGGATTTCTTCAGCTCTCCCACACTAATATATAATGTTTGATTTCTCTTCTCCTGGTTTACCAAGGAGGGAGCTTCTTGTGAGGAGATTCAGCATGCGAGCTGTCACCAGCCTTTTACTTCTGAGTCTCAGCTGAATCTGGCCACACAGTCACCGAGGAGACGGCTCCTACATTTGAAACAAAGTTGTTTTTCTGTGTAGATTGTTGTAAACTTGATATTTGTTTGTAGATTTTTTGGCAGTAGTTTTGATATTTCAGAGCATTGCAGAGGAGATTACAAGCAGTGACACTGTCACAGTTTGTATAGTGAGGAGGGGGCAGGAGGCAGCTGTGTACAGTGAGAGATGATTCCTCTCTGCCACATGGGAGTTGTAGGCAAAGAAAGGTGTGCACGTGACCAGAATCAACGTGCGCGGCTCTTACTAAGGGACAGGAAGTGTGACAGGAGAGAAGAGCAATGGGAGTGGGCACAGCAGACTTTCTAAAGAGATTAAATAGTAAGACTTTATTTTAAAACCTAAATAAATGTGTCTTTGGAGAATGTTCATTGTGTAGTAGTGTACAAGGAGAAAAAAGCTGAGGGTTTGGTGTTGCTTTAATGTTCAGGTGACAGCTGCTGCATTTCAACGCCAGCACACCGTATGTGGTACGATTACTGTACATGTGGTTAGGAATCAATCACTTGACAAGAGTGTTTGACTCTTAACTGCATGTAATCGTATCACATGTGATTTACATGCGGTGTGCCGGTGTTCAGATGCAGCAGCTGTCACCTGATCATTAACCTCTTGCCGTCAGCCCGTTAAGAAAAAACGGACGGACGGCAGACTCGCACCCGCGGGTTGCCGTCGTCAGACGGCATTTTTTTCCTGCTCGCGCGCACCCCCTAGCGGTTTATGGCGTGCATTTCGGAGCGCCCCCATCTCGAGTGCCGCCATCTCCCCCCTCCTGACCCCTCACCTTTAATCCCGGGATCCGCTAGCCCATCTGCGGCCCGGGACCGGCTCGGGAGGGCGTCAGGAGAAGGAGGGAGGGAGATCAGCTCCTTGCTGTTCTCCCTCTGTAGTGTGAATGCAGAAGTGATGTGTATTACATCACTTCCGCATTCACCTGTCAGTCATCTGGCTCCTACTGCCAGAGAGAAGAAGCTGATGAAGCAAATCTGTGCTTCATCAGCTTCTTTTGGGGTCTCCAGGTGACATTAGGGGTCTAGAGACCCCTAATGTCTCCATAAAGAGGACCTGTCAGTGTACCTGTGCTATTATATAGGGGGATGGTATCCCCCTATATAATAGCAATAAGAATAAGTGTAAAAAAAAAATCTATATAAATAAAAAAAGTAAAAAAAAATAAGCCACAAACAAAAAAGTAAAAAAAAATAAGTCACAAATAAAAAAAGTAAACCCCCCCCCCCCCTTCGTTTACGCACATATAAACGTAAATATGCGTCGCATGCGCCAGCGCGTGAAAATGGCAATTGCGCTACACATGTTACGTATCGTCGCGAACGTCAGAGTGAGAGCAATCATTTTAGGGTCATCAATCACTGATAACACTAAACTGATGAGCGGTAAAAGCTTTTAATGCGTCGCCTATGGCCAATTTTGGGTAATGTAGTTTTTTTAAGGTTTCGTGCGCATGCGCAATTTTAAGGCTTTACATGTTTGGTGTCTCTTTACCCGACTTGACCCCGTCTTTTATATTTTACCAAAAAATTTGGTAATAATAAATGTTTTAGAATTTAATATAGGGGGAACTGGTTTTTTTTTAATCTGTAGTTTTTCCTTAATATATTAAAAAATAAAAACCCCAGTGGTGATTTAAATACCACCAAAATAAAGCTCTGTGTCCCCAAAAAAGGGTATAAAATTAATTTCAGTACAGCGCTGCATGACAGAATAAATGTCAGTCAAAGTACCGCAGCGCTGAATACTGAAAAATGGCCTGGATGGGAAGGGGGTTTAACACCGCGGATGTCAACTGGTTAATTTGAACGGGTGACAGTTGCCCCTTGTAAACGGCAGATTAGGGATTCCTGGGTCATCCGTATGTTGTGTCATGTAATTCCACATACATTAAACTGAACTGTTTTAGAGTGCAGATCCCAGAAAATCTATTCCCATTACACATCATGTGCACATCACATTTCCAAGCTGACAAGGGAATGCCTTTTTCATGTTGCAGCATTTCCAGTTTATACTGTGTAACAAGCTTCAGTCTACAGACAAACGCAGTTTAGCCTTGAACAGCTGACTTTTGTTCAGTATAGATAAGAGAAAAATGTTTTCATCTCTGGAAATCTTTGCACACTAGAAGCACAATGCAGAAGTTGGAGTGGTTGCATACAACAATTCAGAGTGGTAGATACAATGGTTATTTTGAAAGAATTAAACATCACCAGATCCTTTGTACACATATGGCTAACTAGGAACCTCAGCCAAGCATCTGGACCAAATGGGGGAATGGGTTTGGTCATATGATCATAACATTAGCTTACAGTTGCCTTCTTGTACGTTCACCCACATGTTTAATTCCAGCTATTAGGTTTCTAATTACTGCTGATCATTCTGGCCGCAGGGTTCGTGACTGACAATTATTCCTAGCCATCAGCCTGTTGGTGTACTTATTATAACATATATAGTGACAGTAGTCAGTATTTGCCAACACTTTGGAATACCGCCTTATCTAGCTATTTATATATGTATATACTAAAGACCCATTCATATCAGTTCCCAAAGGGACTCCATTCTATTGTCCCTGCCAGTTGTAGGTAGGACTTGCAGGTTTCCAGAGCTAATGATTTATGTGAAACGTACCTGCCCACGTTGATGGGCTGGTAGGGATTTATTTTTATTTGCACAGCCAATATCTATTGGTCCCTCCCCTACCTGATTGAAAGTATTTCTTAGGCTGGGCACACACCTTACAACCATCGCAAGACTTTTGTCTTGGGATGGTTGTAAGGTACTTAAAAAAACGTACGATCTGCCTATGTTGCATAGGCAGATCGTACTTGCGATGATCGCAAGCCACGCCCCCTGAGGGGCGGGCTTCCGATGACCTCAATGCCGAACGGGCAGTGTGCGCTTGCGCACACCGGCCTGTGCGGCTGTTATCGTACGGACATGCCACAAACCCGCCGAACATCGTACGATGCTCGGCGGGTTTTCAAACATGTCCGTAAGTTTAAAGTCGTGCGACCTTACAGTAGTAGAGGTCGCACGGCTTCCACACACCTTACGATCATCGTACGATCGCGGGGTTTCCCGCAATTATCGTACGATAATCGTAAGGTGTGTGGGGACCCTTAGGCTAAGTGTATGTGGGATGTTCGATACTATGCAAGCTCTGACTGCACTTAGCACAGCCAAAAATAGAAGCTGGATTGCAGCAGTTCTCCCAGCGTGGACAATTATATAGAACATCTTTTTTGTACATTTTGGGTTGTATATGGAAGGATTAGATCCTTTGCCAGGTTCCACTTCTGTCCCCATTGGGCAGCCTCATCCCATTACTTGATCTGCTGATACAACCAAATGTAAAAGGTAAATCTCACTCACAGCCATATAAAGCTGACCAGATTTCCCTGTTCCTAACTCATTTTTGACATTTAATCTTTTTTTGTTTTAACCCTTAGGTGTTTGTGCTGTGGACGGCATGTTGTATGTTGTTGGAGGTGATGATGGATCCTGTAATTTAGCATCTGTAGAGTACTATAACGCAACAACCGACAAGTGGATACTTTTGCCTTCTTGTATGAGCACGGGGAGAAGTTATGCAGGTAAAATAAACTATGCACACGGGGATAGTTGTTAAACAATACCATTTTATACATATCTATTTCAATTCAGTAGATAGCCAAATTGAAAACATTTCCTTTAAATGTCCAAGAGTTAAGGTATAAGCAAGCCCTAATAATGAACGTCTCTTATTTGCTCTTGTTCGGTTACCTAAACACAGTTCTAATCAAAATTATTCAACCCCCATTGCAAATCAGGTTTATTGGCAAAATGTACATACTTTCAGTTGTTTAACGAGCAAATCAAACAAAAGCAACTGAAATAGGTCAACACAACAAATGTTTTCAAGTGGTTTCTGAAGTTTGTTACTCAAGTGGTCTTTCCCACTAGTGATATTGAGTCCCCACAGGTCAGTGACAGATTTGTCATTCCAGGACATGAACAGTCTTCAGAAACATCTGGAACATACTAGAAGGAAACCTAATTAATAATAGACCCCTGCCTTTGAAATTAGGTGGGGGTGATAATTATGTTCCAGCTACTGGAGTACAGACATGCAAATTTTAATGTGACGTAAGCTCAGGAGTTACATCTTAAAAATCCATTCAAATACCTTAACTGTTAACAAAAATATATCTTATTTGTGTATCACTCGGCTGTAGATCCTCAAATCATCTCTGAATTTGAGCTGACACTGTCCTTCCTTCTGGAGGGTGGCTACTTTTGTTCTCCATGGTCCCTGTGTGTGTTTTAAAGTTGCCACCTCTCCAAGCTCACTCCCGTGATGGACTTCAATCCCATATTTAGTTTATTAATTTGTATTGAGATTGTAGTCCATCACGGGAGGAAGCTTGGAGCGGCAGCTACTTTTACAGCACACAGAGGGACCACAGGGAATGCAAGTAGTCACCCTCCAGAAGGAAGGGCAGTGTCGGCACCAATTCAGAGATGATTTGATTATCTACAGCTGAGTGATACACAAATAAGATACATGTTAATAGTTAGGGTACTTAAATGGATTTTTAAAATGTAACTGCCGAGTTTAGTGTCACTTTAACATTTAGGCATGGACGCCCTATCTACTGGTTTTATCTCTAGGAAAATTATGGTGATCAGCAGAAAAAGCATTCCCAAGAAGGTCTGTTTAAGAGGGTCTGCTGGTACCCACATATTTGATCACACACGCCGGGGCTACACACGCTGGGAGACACTACCACTCTGCTTAAAGGGTCTCATCACACCCTCCTGAAGAAGTGGCCACCTTAGAGCCAAGAAAGGCATTGAGACTGCGATAGGTATGTGTGTGTTTCATGGAATAAAAGTCTAAACTGAAGAAACACGATCATTTCATCTATTCCACCTGGGCGCCTCTGCTGTCTTGCACCCATGTTTTTTGGGGCATTCTTGTCTAATTTCTCCATATTTCTCCATATTTGATCATTGCCCAGCCAGCTAAAATAAGATGTATCCATGGGTATGCAAGAAAGAAGCTATAGGTAACACTACTTTCAGACAGCAAAAAGAGGAGGCCCTATGTTTGTAAATGAGGCTTGTTCTAATGTGTTTTTCTCTTCTCGTTTTTCTTCTAGGAGTTACAGTTATTGATAAGCCCTTATGATCCAAGAGAGGACCTCGCATTATCTTAAGAAAGAGCAAGTATAAAGTGAAGTGTAGCTTCATGGCCTTCCTTGCTTCTGACTGCAAGCTGTGGCAGAGAAAATTCAAGGCTTTTCTTCTGCAGTAAAGCACAGCAGCCGCCGAAGATTACAATAGGTTGAAGAATTGTGCAGAGCTTTTTCTGCATTGAGCAGCAGCTACCTGCAAGTTCCAATGATTTGTGATTTTTGCTTCCCAACTGTTACAGAAGAGAAAACATAAGCTGCTTTCATATGGTCCAGCAATCACTGATGCTGGGTGGACTAGAGAATGTCATTAAAAAGAAGGATCTAAAGTTCTGTGTATATCAGTGAGGTGAGGTTCTATGTAGGGAACCATACATTCTGTACATGAAGTATAAATATTTTCTGAAGCCACATGGGTAGATGTGTAGGAAACCTATTTTCACATAAAGATGCTTTTTCAGCTATGTGAATAACCTGTAAAGTGTGTGTGTATGTCTGTGCATACGTGTACTGTACAACTGTAATTGCTGCTTTCTTTTTTAAAGCGGCCCCGATGTTGGGTTTATGCACTATTTATATATTGGAGCACTCCGAGGAGAATCTGCCAGTACTGTTGTAACACAAAGTTGTATATATATATTTTTTTTTTTTACATGTAAATTTGCATTTGCAGAATAATGAGGGCAGTGGCACTGGGGGAACAAATGTATAGGCTGCCAAATGTTTTTTATAGAAATAAAGGAGACCTGATTTGATTGTTTTATTTATGATGATGTTTGTATAAATTTGCACATATCTCTTTTGTGATTCCTTATTTTTGGATGTGAAGGAATTTTACAGCATGTGATAACTCCCCCCCACCCCCGATAATCTTGTGGAGATCAACTGACTATGCATGATTTAACTGAATTGTCAGTGTAGTTAAATTATTTTACCCTTCAAGTAATACATCTGCTGTTTGGCAGTGTTTATTACTGTTTTGTTATGAACATTGAATTATGAGTTTCCATGGCCCAGAATTCTGTGATCAAATATTTGTCAATAAATTCTTTTTGTATCACAGCTGTTTAGCTTTGGAGGAAATGTTTAGTGTTCTGTACATGCTTTGTTTATTATTTTTAGAACTAACGTTTAAGTTTTGTTCATTTTTTAAGTGTAAAAATGAAATATTGTAACTATTTCATATTTACCATTTCCATCCAGCAGATGAAGACTTAGGCTCCTTTTATATGTTTACCAGGCTAACCTTAAGTGCTTTGCTTTAAAAGAAGAAAAAAAAAGCCTGTTTACAGAAACGAATAGCTGAGGAAAGTGAGGAATCATTTTATTTATACAGTGACAGTCTGAAAGTAAAAAGCTACTGCTGTGCTTTTTTTTAGAAAGCCTAGAATATGCTGCATTGTGGGTGCACCCTGCATTAAATATATGCTGGTGAAATAAAGAATTTATAACTAAAAGCATGGGGACAAAAAAAAATACACCCACACTTCTTGGAATTGCTTTTAATTCCTTGCATTCTTCCACACAGAGTATAGATCCTTCTGTATAGCATCAGTGGTAGAACACTCAGCTGAATCAGACCCAGAGCATGCCAGTAAGAAAAGCTCCTACTACCTCTAGCTCAGTGGGGAAGGAGGGGTGGGGTCCATTGCGGAGATATTGGTGCTTCCATTCAGAGCAGCAGTCCTTTTGTGCAGCATAATGCTGGTACCCTGATATTTCTGATCAATAAAAGCATTTCCACAAGTAAGACATGTCCCACCTTTGATACACATTCAATGCATCTTTATTGATTTGTATTACCATGGGCTTTAGGAAAATAAATCCAAATAAATTGAGCCAAAACCATTAGTTTCCCTCTAAGGGTAACTTCAGTCTAACGGCTATATACAAAGTCACAATACATCCACAGGAAAATGTAACCTGCCAAGAATTGGGTAGTTCACACCCTTGCTGAGAGTGACTCCACTTTTCAGAGCCTGCATATCTGCAGACTCTACCACATCCTTAGCTGCAAAGTTTGGTGACTAGTGAACATCAGCACAAGGGTGATATCCCATCCTAAGTTCTCTGCCTTCTACACAAGTACATTCCTTCCCCCAGAAGATAACGGCAGTTACTCACATTGCAAGTCTTTCAGACTTCAGCTGATGTTGGCTAAAAGACAAAAAAGGTAAGCACACTGAATGTGCGGGAAGGGAACTTTATCACTTTTATAAAAACACGAGTGAGCGATGTATTTTATCTATATTTGTCTAAAAATATTTTCCTGTTGTTGCATTAAAATAAACATGACATTAAAAATGTTGATTAAAGGACTACAAACTTTGACAGATTTTAGGCTTACTATTGGATTTTTTATTTATTATTAATGTATTTTTCCTACAGCGTTCTTGTAGCATCGAAAGATTGTTTAAAACAACTGAATCTATGATCTGGTATGATTTACCATTAGTTATATGGCCAGCATTAGAATTCATGAACGTGCAACTTGAACCTCCCTTGTCGTTCCACAACAAATCCCCCATCCCCCATCCCCAAAGAGCCACCCACACTAATCCTATAATATCAAAATGCACTGTGCTAAAAAAAACAAAAACCTACCTTTAAGTCCCCTCAGTAAAATGCAGTGCATGACTCTTCCTCCCTCTCCAAACCAATTCATACAAATAATTCATAGAGTAAATGTAATTCATATAATTATCTCATAGACTGTGTCTCCAATAAAAGCCCCTCATTGTGCTCCAAGAAAATTGATTTTAAAGGAAGTCAATTTCATGTACACAAGTCCAATCTTAAATATCCATCCCAGACTGTGCTTTGACTTTCTATAAAGTGCTTATCGTGCAATCCAAACCCGTGCTTGATCCATCAAAAAAATGCTTCAAGTGTAAGCCACTCCGCTCTCCTCTGTGTGCATCGCTCTGATCACACCGCGCTCACTGGAACAGATGGACCATAAAAATAAAAAAAATGGTCATAACCACTTCTATAACGGCAATGCTCCCTCGTTGCCCTCCCTGGTGCTCAGTAGTCTAGATCGTATATAGGGATCTTAGAGTGCCTTCCCCCAATGTGTAAATGAATGGCTATAGATCACTCCTTTTATTTCTCATATGTAGTCTCCAATAACCATATAGCTTTGGCGGTACACTTGTACAGCCTCTTGGTAAGTTTCCATCCTGCAAGCACCCTGCCTCTCGCAGGACGGAAACTTACCAAGAGACTGTACAAGTGTATCAGGAACACGAGGGGTGCGATGTGGATTGTACTTGAGGCACTTTTTTAATGGTTGAAGCACAGACTTGGATTGCACGAGAAGCACTTTATAGAAATTTAAAGCATAGTCTGCAATGGATGTTTGCGGTTGGACTTGTCAGAACGAAATGCATTTAATTTATCATTAATTTTCGCACATTGAGGGACTTTTTATTGAAGACACATTCTACGAGATATTTATTATTATTATGAATTATTATTTATGATTTTTGTGCTGTATTAAGTGATATTTTATTGATTTTGGTTTGGAGAGGGTGAAAGAGTCCTTCACCACATTTTACTAAGGGGATTAAAAGTTAGTTTTCATTTTTTTTCCAGCGCAGTGCATTTTGAAAATATGTTTTCTAGGTGTTGGTACACTTTGCCACAGCTGCTAAGATCTGAATAGGTGAGTTGTTAGGAGTGTGGATAATTTTTGCTTTTTTCACCCACAAAAATCATACAGCATCAATGAAAAATACATATTTGTCAATAATATATGAAATGTATTATTTGTAATGTAATACTGATCTATTTTCCTTTTATGCATGTTTATGATTTAGCCCCGGTTCACGCCCAGGAGCTTTTGAGCAGTTTGAAAATCGCTTTTAACTGCCCAACACAAGAAATCCCATTATTTTCAATGGCCATGGTTCACGCCTGAAAACATACAGGAGCTTCTTCTGGCAGTTAAAAGTGCTTTTCCTCCCCATAGACTTCATTGGAAATGCCCAAAAACGTGCAATAGAAGCAAGTTGCACATTTTTGTGAGCGTTTTTACGCGCGTTCTGTCATTGCTCACAATGGTTTATGAGTTGCCAATCAAAACGTGCTTCTTCATGTACGCATGTTAAAACGCGCATAAAATGTGCACAATGCGCAAATAACTGCATGCTGCTAACACGTGTACAAACGCGCAAAAACCGTGCCGCTTTGGTGTGAACCAGGGCTTAGTAAACCGGTACGTTTCGTTTTTGCTAGTATACAATGCAGATTGATTTGAGCTGCTTCATCTATGTTGTGTTTGTTCAGGCATGAATTAAGAGAATATTCTCATGTTGGCTTTAGCATAGGAAGGTCACATTAGTGTTATTGTGTGTATGTGTATATATTCTCTCCCAGTGTATGTATGTATGTATATATATTTTTTTTTTTTAAATACGGTTTTCTTTTTTTGTCTTTTCATAAAAATAACATGAAGATACAAAGAGGTACAAATGGTGTCAAATCACATAAGGGGGGTTAGGGATGGGAGGGTTATATATAATTGTGTCTGCTGCTCTGGTGTAGGGCAACAATATTGAATTCCGTATAATTAATATTGTGGACATTTTTGTGGGTTTTCATATAGGGAGAATGGGGGAGTGATGTAATGAGAAAAGTTAGGAAGCCAGTGAGCTTTGCTTTGCTTGCCAAGGACAGTTGGTGTGTTAAAGTGAAGGCTTTGTCCCAATTCTCTGGAAAAAACGGAGACGCCTAGTTCTGTGAACCATTGGTCAATGTATTTGAGGAGGAGTCGGGTAAGTACGTGATAGAGGAACACTGTATATTAATGAAAGGACATGCTTTGGAGGAGAGTCCTGAAGAGGGCTTCCAAATGGAGTCAGCTGGGAGGACAGGTTTTGTCTGGTAGGCAGAGAATGTGACCTGATAGCCAATCATTGGAATGTGGTTGGGGCATCAAAGGATAGGATAACCTGGATCAGAGGCAAGGATCCCTGGTGCAGGATTTGGGTCAGGGGATAGTGCCTTATTATCCCATGTCAGAAAATGAGATTGGGCAGCCGGAGGAAATGCTGGATTTCCAAGGTGGGGTGTGTGGGTCGATCGGTCATGAACACAGTTGCAGGGGAAATCTAAAGTTTTGTCTCTTACAGCAAGAAAGTTGCATGTGAGGATGGGGGAGCTTGCTCAATGAGGACCGGTAAAAATGTTATGCCTCCTGAGGAAATCCCCATATGTTGGGATTAAACGCGCTAAAAAAATAGGAGCATAAACTATGCCATAGAATCTAGGAGCATTTTTTCACTTGAAAATCTGCTTCAAAAGAGGTGCTTTGCACTTACATTATTGGATTTTTGCACAGAATATTTCCACGCCACTTACCTTTTATAGTCCATTGGAGTGGAGACAGGCGGATGAAGACCAAGGAGCTTGGTTTTATACACACCCTCATGCACTGACACACCTTCAGTTTGGTCTAATGATCCATACAACAGCAGAGTGGATGCATATTTCTTCCAGGACGCATGGCATTGTATCTAGGTGGACTGTTTAATCAGCATTAGCAGTGGAATGTGCTATAGCAAAACTAAGGTTGTTTGTCACGTATGTATGCACATATTGCGCAATACTCTTATGATGTGTCTCCATATCACCATGCATGCCTTGTGAGGACTGTTCTACATGGCTATATTGCAGATTACCTTGGTTACTGGAGTCCTGTATTCAGGGATTATCAATGTCCCCTTTAGATGTGGAATACCAAAAACTATACAGTTGTGGTGGATGTGGAATATGTGTGCATCGTGGGCGATCACACTGTGGGCGGGAGGTGCATTTGGGGTGCTATTAGAATGAATGGCACTGCAACGCACCTCCCGCAGCAGAATTTGTCAGAACGCAACTGAAAATATTTTTTTTCACACCTTTTATCATTTTTAATGTTTGTAACCACATGGCGCTTGAATAGCTTCAGACAGGGAATGACAGCTGCCACTAGCAAGATTCTGCAGATGGCAGCTGAATGTAAACACAGCAGGTAGTGGGATGGTGCAATAACCAGCCTGCCATTGGTAGTGCCACATCAAATTAAAGCCCTTTTTGTCCTTTAAAACGGTATATAATAGAGGTGCACAGAAATTAAAATGTCAAAACCGAAACAAAGTTCTTTTAATAAACTTTTTATATTTATTGATGTTTAAGTTTTTTACTTTTAGGGGCTTTGGGAAACATTGGGGGTCTAAACAGACCCCTAATATTTCCCTTTTAAAATAGAAAAAGAGATTGAGAACACAGAGTCCTCAATCTCTTTTTCTGTATCCCCTGTTATCAATGAACAGGAATCCTCTATACTGAGTGTTCCTGTTCATTCATAACTTGAGTACATGGTATGTTTACTATAACCACAATTATGAATGAACAGGTGATGTAGAGCACTTCCCATTCATTCATAATTGAGGATATAGTTAACATGCTATCTCCTCAATTATGTACAAACACTCAGCAACCACTGAGTGTATGTACCTTGCTCTTCTCTCTGACACACGCTATCACAGGAGGCTGAGTGAGGAGAGCTCAGCCTGCTGTGACAGCGCGGGCTGTCTCCGCCCACACACCGCTCTGCTGATCTGTGACAGGAGGCTGAGCGGTGCGGGGAGGAGTCGCCAGCCGCTCACAGCGTTCGGCCGCCTGTCAGTTTCCTCTCCTCACTGCTGGGACACAGAGCAGCGCCCAGCGGGGAGAAGAAAAAGCAGGGATGCACCGCTGTATCGGCCAAAAAATGGCACTTTTGACATCATGCCAAAAGTGCAATTTTTGACGGTCGATATATCGGTGCATCCCTAGTATATATGTGTGGGTGCAATAAATGAGAAAGATGGAAATTATGGTTGAACACACACAGCAAAAATTGCTTTGGTCCTTAACTGAAATACAAGCATCTGAAATGTATACTCTGTGACTTTTGCTGCATAGGAATGATAAGTAGTCCTATTTGGATTTTGGATGCCAGATATAAAGCGGTTATTTTTAAGGGCATTTTCTAGGTGATCCTTAACAGTACAGAGAGTGGGGGGTTAAGGGGCATCCCTGGAGGGTTCTATTACAAATATTTGTTCTCCTATGACAGCGAGCCATTCACTTGAACTGTGGCAGATGGCAGAGAGTACAGAGCCAAGATTTAGTGTAAAAGGTTGGGGCTCAGCTCCAATTGCAAGGGATAGAGGGCATGGAGTAGTATCTGTGGTCTGGACATAGTACAGTACAGGACACAGGCTCCTTTAAGCACAGGCCATGGGCTGTATGCAGTGAAGGTGTCCATTGCCAAGCTTTGGGGACTGTAACCAGACCCTGCCATGTGGAAGATGGAGGGCCGGCCTGTAATGTTGCTGAGGCACTGGATTCCCCTGTGATGGATCTTCAAGAGCCATGGAGTGTTGAGCTATGGCTCTCTATTGCTACTTTTTTTTTTATTACCTAAAGCGGAATTGTAAGCTTCCAAGGCAGAGCTTATGGGAAAAGGTCTCAACGCTGAAAGAAACCACTGGATGTGGTAAAGCATCCTCAGTCAGCATCACACACCAACTCGCTTTTGGACTCTGTCATCCCAGAACCTTTGCTTTCTTGATGAGGGGGAGGAAGGCCAGGAAAGGTGACTCAAGGGAAGTCAGATGACTGCTCGTAGGAGGAAGGTCACACAGCTGTGATTTCTCCCAGGACTAAAGAAACCATTGCAGTTTTGGTGGACAAGGTGCTTCTGACTTCTTCTCCTCTGAAAGCTGGTTGGATGACCAGTGAAACGTCTTCAAGAAAAATACAGCAAGTCCAGTTGCCTTGATTTATTTTTTTATAGATATATCATGACCTGGATGAATGAGAACCTTCACAGACATATGGCATATAGGCACAATGCATAAAATATCTGCATTTGTAGCACCTGGGAGCCCATTAATGTGTTTTTCTGTCCATAGGATTTCATGGCCAGAATACGCTATACGTGTGTCAACGTGGATTAACATAAGTTCCTGAACGCAAAGGTTTCGCATTTGGAAACGTACGCCAATACAAATGGCTGTACTTGCGCTTACACACCTATATCAGCATAGTGTCCTGTGTTTGTATCCATGTGCATGAGCCCTAAGGGCTAACTCGCACTGGAATCGGCCGGCACGTACAGCTCCGTGCTGCGTGCAGGGACGTATCGGGCAGCTCCCTGGAAAGACAGGTGCTGCGTGTGATAAATACACAGACTCCGTCCTTCTCTATGGGACTACGCGGCCGTACGCCCCCTACGCTCACCCGCCCTGCACATCCATGGGGGTGCGCATACTCGTATGCTGACAGAATGGATCCTGTCTGCGTCCGAGCCAGGAAACACGCACCCCTACGGACCTGCACTTTCTTCTAGTCCAAGTCAGAACTCTGACGTCTCCTCTTGCTCTGCATCTTTCTCATAGTCCTGAGATGCAGCACAGGATGATGTCTAGGGGTAAGGTAGTGTTTATAGACAGAGCCCGGTGTACTGTCCTCTATGCCAATGACAGCCGTGCCCACTCATCTACATACACATCTCATCACAAACACCGTGATCACTGCTGTCATTGTCTCGCGATCACTGACACCTCAGTCACGTGGTGATCACCTGTTCCCACCCCTATGAAACATCAGCGCCATTAACCCTTTCAAACACATGTAAGCGAACTGTAACTATCTTCAATAGAGAAAACGAGTGTTCACCACGCTACATCAGCGGATTCTGCCGCTTCTAAATACAATGACAACGAAACACAAATTACAACCTCTTCCTTCCCGCGCCGCAGATTCGAAGGCCGGTGACATTACCTTAGCAACCATCCTAGCATCAGGCCCCGCCCCCCGAGCGCACTTCCTCTGTCATGTAACAAGCGTAGCCCCTTAGTGGGGGGCGTGCCAATACTGTAGCGAACGAAACCAGCCCTGTTTGCGGATTGGTTAACAGTGCCAGTCGGCTTAGGCTCACTCCATGCCCGCATCCAATAGGATTTCGAGCCGCTCCCGTGACGTTTGTAGTGCGTAGCAGTGGTGGCCAATCAGAGGCTGTAGAAGAGATCGCTCGGTGTTTGCGTGACAGCTGAGAATTCTCTGTCCCGGTGCTGAAGAGGAAAGAGTTCAACATATAAAGACAAGTGAAGAGTACAGCGCCTGACAGACGGCCGGCCAACTGCTGGAGGTGAGCGAGCACATAAAACCGGAGCAAACTAAATCTGGAGCAGCTGTGCATGGCAACCAATCAGTTTCTGTCTTTTATTTCCAAAGCTTAACTGAACAAAGTGAAGAGAGAAGCTGATTGGTTGGCCTGGACAACTGCCCCAGATTCTTTCCGCTCCAGTCTTGATAAATTCCCCCCATGAAATGTTTTGAGTGGTTTATATAACTGTGGGAATGAATAGTATTTTACAGTGGTGTCTCCTCATTTTATCTCAGTGGTAGAGTTCATGGGGAGAGTGCATGTTACTGGTCTGAAAACAACCCAAACTGGATGGCCGAAGACCAAAGGGACCGATGATCACCGCTGGAAGCAAACATCTTACGTCCAGGGGAGATCATCTGTCCCTAACTTCTGGTTCTTGCTCCATGTGCGATTACATCCAAACACAGGTTATAGCTGCGGACGTTGTCAGCCTGCCATTGCTTTGTACAGGCTCAGTGGCTGCAACTATTCGCACCCAGGCGTAGGAATCAGCCGGATTCTTGCCACAGCTGGCACATGATTGTGAATGAGGCCCAAGAAATGTTCAGCGTTCTTGTATTCAGCGTACACAAGCGCAGGGCCTTTTGCCTATGGAGCCATACGTTTGGGACACCCTATAAATAGGGATTGCGGCACCACGGGGAAATTGTTATTTAAGATTGAACCTTTTATTTGTGGAATCTCAAATTAAAGTTTCACAGAGGTGCTGCAATCCTTGTTGTGGCCTTTTCATATATTGGACCATCTATAGAAGGTCCTGAATAGATGAGCACTGTAAGGCTTTGCACCAAGTGCACCTATTGTACTTTTATATTTATTATCAATAATAATA